ATAGTTGAAAAAAATAGTCTCCTGGTAGACAGTTGAATAAATACCAACACTGCCCAAAATTCAGAGGGTACTTTCATCTTGGGAATACAAAGTAGAGAATAAATGCTCTGCCCAAACAATTTCCTTAGGTTGCACAAAAGCACTGAATCGGGCCAGAGCGTGGTCCACCCAGTAGAGCTTGGGTGTGTCCAGCTGCCCAGGTAGAACACGATGGATGCTGTTGGTGGAGGGGGTTGGTGAGAAAGAAGTCAGAGCTATAAAGTCTGAGCTGTATGCCAGTCTGGAGAGCCTGAGAAAGTTGTCAGTCTGACTTTGACTTATCCTGAGAAAGTGAAAGTCACGAAAGAGTGGAGGACACTTCAGAGACTGGTTCTGGTTTCAATTTGAAGGATAGATCAGAGTTTGGAAGGCCTGGAACCAAGATATCATTCCAGAAACTACTGCAGTAATTTCATCAGAAATAAAGAAGGCCAAATGCTGGTGAGGATGCAGAGCAGCAGAAATTCTGGTGAGAAATTGCTGGTGAGAATGCAAAATTGTGGTACAGCCACTTTGGAAAACAGTTTGGCCGTGTCTTATAAAACCAAATGTACACACACCATATAACCCCAACAATCTCACTCTGAGATGTTTACTCAAGAAAAGTGAAAATATGTTTAGGAATGTTTAGAGCAGCTTTTTTCATAACCACTAAAACCTGGAAGCATCAACTGGTGAATAGATAATAAATAGATTTTACATTAATGAGTGAACACTATAATAAAGATGGAGGGGACTACTGATACTACAGAACGTGGATGACTCTTCAAAGCATTATGTTAGACGAAAGAAGCCAGACTACATGCTGGATGGTTCCATTGATAGGGCATCCTGAAAAACATAAAGCTATTGGCACAGAAATAAGATCATTGTTTTAAAGGGGCCAGTGTGGAGGGAAGAGTTGATTATAAAGAGGCACATAGAACTTTCTGGGTGATAGAAATACTTCATATAGCATTTTCATTGTGGTGGAGATTACACAGTTGTATACATTTATCAAAGCTGTGTACCTATAAAGTGTGAACTTCATTATATAGAAATCATATCCCAATATACTTCACTTTAAGAAAAAAGAGAAAAAGAATAATAAGACTTGAGGAATAACTGGATAGAGAATAAAGGAAAGAAAAACAAGATATATTTCAATGGTCAAGAAAACATAAATACTAATAAAAGAAGCAGTACCTGATATAGCCAGTTAACTGCTGCAAGAATGAAATGCTGAACTTAGTTACATTGAGGAGTATTTCAGAATGTATTAAAATTATTTCATTTTATGTTATTACTTTAGTGGCCAATTTGGCACAAGTCTGAGGAAAGTGTTACTAACTTTTAAAAGCATATGATGGATTCTTGAGAAGTTTGTGTTCTGGAAATACACAGAGGAAGTTTCCGTGTGTATAAATATGCATGCCCATGCCTGTCTCAAAGCATCTGATGATACTTTTCCTTGGAATATGTTTTTCACTGCTTTTATGTTCTTTGAACAATTAAAATGTGTCAAAATGCTTTCTTAGTTCTAATTAATAAAAAGTACTAAATATTAATTTTTAAAAGAAAAATGCCTATAATACAGTGACAGAAGTGGGCATGGAGATAGTTTGGAGAGAATTTAAGAAGGTAGAATCTTTTCCAAGGAGTGATTTTTCAGGTAAGATATGCTTGCACGTGGGCATATGGACAAATCAAGTAAGAATACTATTTGTTAAGAGAAAAGACTGGAAATGATCTCCCTCCCTTTCAGTAGGAAACTGTTTAAATAAATTATGGCATAATTCATGCCATATAATGGCAGTCTCTATAATAATGGAATACTATACCACTGTTAAAGTGAGATAAATCTATATGTGCTGATGTGCAACGACGTCTGAGTTAGAAAAACACAGTACGTTACATTACTATTTATATAACAAAAGGGTATGATCTATGTCTCTATCTAGATACCTATCTATCTGCATACACTCTATAGGTGTAGGATATCTCTGGAAGACCATGACAAGGAGCTGTTTTATCTGCCAGGATCCATTCAGGAGACAGAAATTACACAATAATTTGAGTAGTGAAGCTTTAATGTGGAAAATGATGAATAACTTACTAAACGTAAGAGAATTCTGAAGAGAACTCTAGGGCTTCCGACACTGAGAAGACTTAGCTTTGGAGTTACCTTAGGGCTGTAAGAAACCAAGACTCCACTCTTGAAAATTGTGCTCGTGGCGTGGAGGCAGCAGGTGGAAAACCACCTGGTTTGCTGGCTTCACTTGCTAGGATCACGGCAGCAATGTTTTATTTATGTGTTTGTTTGTTTGTTTTTTGATCTGTCACCTCAGGCAAGGGAAACGAAAGCAAAGAAACGCAAATGGGACTTCATTAGATTTAAAAGCTTTCTCAAGAGTGAAAGAAACTACCAATAAAATAGAAAGACAACCTACTGAATTGGAGGAGATATTTACAAATGATATGTCTGATAAGGGGTTAATATATAAAATACCTGATGTGAAGAACTGACTCATTGGAAGAGACCCTGATTCTGGGAAAGACTGAAGGCAGGAGGAGAAGGGGATGACAGAGGACAAGATAGTTGGACGGCATCCAGCATCTCCCAGAGTTTGCCCAAGTTCATGTTCATTGCATTGCTGATGCCATCCAACCATCTCATCCTCTGACACTCTCTTCTCCTTATGCCCTCAATCTTTCCCAGCATCAGGGGTTTTTCCAGTGAATCGTCTGTTCACATCAGATGACCAAAATACTGGCGCTTCAGCTTCAGCATCAGTCCTTCTAGTGAATATTCAGGGCTAATCTCCCTTAAGATTGACTGGTTTGATCTCCTAGCTGCCCAACAAGGGACTTTCAGGAGTCTTCTCCAGAACCACAGTTCAAAGGCATCAATTCTTTGGCATTCTGCCTTCTTTATGGTTCTGCTCTCACAACCACATGTGACCACTGGGAAGACCATAGCTTTGACCATACAGAGTAATGTATTGTCAGCAGAGTAATGTCTCTGCTTTTTAGCACACTGTCTAGGTTTGTCATCGCTCTCTGGGCCAGAAGCAATCGTCTTCTGATTTCATGGCTGCAGTCACCGTCTGCAGTGATTTTGGAGCCCAAGAAGAGGAAATCTGTCACTACTTCCACATTTTCCCCTTCTATTTGCCATGCAGTAATGGAGCCAGATGCCATGATTTTAGTTTAGTTTAGTTTAGTTTTTTTTTTAACATTTACTCCCCTTCAAGGATCACTGCCTTGTTGGGGTAAAACGGCTTGCATAACTCAATGAAGCTATGAGGCAAGCCATGGAGGGCCACCCAAGACAGACGGATCATAGCAGAAAATCCTGACAAAATGTGATCCACTGGAGGGAATGGCAAACCACCCCAGTATACTTGCCGTGACAACCTCATATATATGAGGTTGAACTGTATAAAAAGTGAAAAAGAAGACATACTAATGGCCAGCAGGCACATAAAAAAATGCTCAACATCATTAATCATCAGAGAAATGCAAAGCAGATCTACAATCAGATATCATCTCTGTTATAATGGCTATCATCACAAAGATCACAAGTAACAAATGTTGATGAGGATGTGGAGAAAAGGGAACCCTAGTTCACTGTTGGTGGGCACGTAGATTGGTGTAGCCATCATGAAGCAGTATAGACATTCCTTAAGAAAATTAAGAACTGATCTACCATTTGATTCAGCAATTCCATTCCTCGGTAGACGTCCAAAGAAAATGAAAACACTAATTTGAAAAAATGTATGTAGCCCAATGTTCATAGCAGCATAATATGCAACTGTCAGACTATGTCAGCAACCTAAGTGTCATCAGCAGATGAAGAGACAAGATGTGATATATATATACACATATATGAAATATCAATGAAATATTATGCAGTCATAAAAAAGAATGAAATTTTGATCTTTGCAGCAATATGGATGGATCTGGAGGTTATTATGCATAGTTAAATAAGTCAGAAAAAGACATATTCCATATTTCACATATATGTGAAATCTAAAAAATAAAAGAAACAAATGGATATAACAAGTAATAAACAGACCCATGGGTATAGAGAACAAAGTAGTGATTATAAATTGGGGAGGGGCAAGATAGACAGAAGTGATTAAGAAGTACAAACTATCATGTATAAAATAAATAAGATACAAGGATTAATGAACCACACGGAATATAACCATTATTTTAAAATAACTTTTTTAAGCTTTTTGGGGGGCCATGCCATGTGGCCTGTGGGATCTTAGTTCCCTAACCAGAGATTGAACCTGTGCCCCCCGCATTGGGAACATGAAGTCTTAACCACTAGACCACCAGGGAAGTCCCCATAATAACTTTAAATGGAATATAATCCATAAAAATATGGAGTTGTTGTGTTGTATACCTGCAACTAATATAACATTGTAAATCAACTGTACTTTAATTTTAAAAAGTGTGGCTCAGATGGAAAAGAATCCTGCTGCAATGTGGGAGACCCAGGTTTGAACCCTTGGAGAAGGAAATGGCTACCCACTCCAGTATTCTTGCCTGGAGAATTTCATGGACAGAGGAACCTGGCAGGCTGCAGTCCACAGGGTCACAAAGAGTAAGACATGAGTCAACACACACTAGGGCTGAGAAAGGGTACCCGAGAAAGGGATGAACTTGGAGGAATGAGCTCCTCAACACTGGACACAGACCTCCTTGGAGAAGGGGCAGGCCCACTGATGGTGGAGTATTTTGCTGGATTGCTGGATTGCTTGAACTGGTTCACAGTTGACAAGCTTCAGGTCACAGGCCAGGCTGACAAGTGGGGAATTCCTCAACCAGGAAACCTGGAGGCTGAGGCTGGTGGGAAAGAAATCACTTGCCCGGGGGTGGGGAGGGAGAGCTGCAGAAATTCAACAGGAAACTGCCTTGTGGAAAGAGCTGTGGAACTTATGGGAAACTGACTGGGCCACGACTGGACTCACTGGAAAGCTGCCAGGAGGCTGTGTCTCTGAGCTGGCCCAGGGGAAGCCGGCTGGGGTACCCACGGAACTTGCTGGGTGAGATCCATCGGTGGGACGAACACAGCGCCGCAGAAGCAGGACCAGAAAGCCCGCCGGAGCCGGGAAGAGAGGCCCGTTTTTCCTCCAGAGCCTCTCGGCGCCCTCTACAGACAGAGTTTAACACTGCGTCAGCTGGCAAGGGAGAGATGTCTCATTATCACCCGCAGAGAAACGGAGGGCGGATTTGGGACTGAAAGGTAATCAATTCATAAATGCCACAGCTGGTAACAAATGTACCTGGGGAGGAAGACTGGTTGATCAGGCTCAGATGTGAAAGAGAAATTTACATTTCGGTGCGCGTCTTGCTACTGTTTGATTTGGCAGAGGGGCATTGCAAAATTTCTTTAATGCATTATACTGAATTTCATATTGTAAAATAATAATGCTGTTGATGATAGTAGTATGCCAGTCATCATTCCAAATGCTTTAACTATACTAAATCAGCTAACCTTTCCCCAGAGCAGTTACTCTTCTAAGACCCAGTTTTTATACTGGAAAAAACTGAGGCACAAGGATGTTAAGGGATTTGTCCAAGATTAGCTGTCACGTTGTCATAGTGACCGCAGCCATGAAATTAAAAGACGATTGCTCCTTGGAAGAAAAGTTATGACCAACCTAGACAGCATATTAAAAAGCAGAGACATTACTTTGCCAACAAAGTCATTTATTTTTATGAGCTGGGGGCTAATCACTTTACAATACCGCAGTGGGTCTGGTCATACACTGACATGAATCAGCCATGGAGTTACATGTATTCCCCATCCCGATCCTCCTTCCACTTCCCTCTCCACCCGATTCCTCTGGGTCTTCCCAGTGTACCAGGCCCGAGCACTTGTCTCATGCATCCAGCCTGGGCTGGTGATCTGTTTCACTATAGATAATATACATGATATATTTTAAAGAATCATATGCAAATGTTATTCCCCATTACTCTTGAAAATAATTTTTTGTAAAAGTCCAGTGTGCATGGACTTGATGACTAATGGAATCGTTAGGGGAAGCATGCTGACTGAAACTGCTCATCCCGGCCAGGCGCCATAGTTACCATTTGCATGGTTTGTTTTACGATGGGAGGTCCTGGTAAGGAACATGGAACCACCAACTGGAAGAGTTCTGGAAAGGTCAAAGGGCGACAGCGCGTGTCCAACCCGCTCCCAGAATCCTTCTTGTTGGCGTCCATCTTGGCTGAGTGATGTGTCCACCACCAGGAAGTGCTCTGAATTAGAACGATTGGCCGAAGACCACCCGGAAACTAATCGCGTCACCAGCCCAAGACTGCGGAGCGGTTCTCCTGGGTTCCCTTGCCCTCCTGCTCTCTGCCCGGGGCCCTTTCCCGATAAAATCTCTTGCTTTGTCAGCACGTGTGTCTCCTCAGACAGTTCACTTCTGAGTGTCAGCCAAGAGCCCGCGTTCGGGCCCTGGAAGGGGTCCGCCTTCCTGCAACAGAATGTGGGAGTTGAACTAGAGGAAAGTATCCAGGCTGACTCCCAGACTTCTTTCCTATTTGCCATGAGTTGGTAGTAAAGCTGTTTGTTGACAGGCGCCAAGCAAAGGGTGTAAAGAAAGCAGATTAACAAAGAATGGGAACCCTGCATCACACCAAGCGTGTGCGCAGGAAGAGGACTGAGAATGTCCAGTTGGAGGGGTGCGTGTGAGTCCGCTAAGGCCGCCATAACAAATTACCACAAACTGGGTGGCTTTAAACAGCAGAAATTTATTGTCTTACAGTTCAGGAGACTAGAGGTCCAAAATCAAAGTGGCAGCAGGTTTGGTTCCTTGAGTTTCTGAAGCCAAATCTATTCTGTGCTCAATCATCCAGCTTTGGTGCTTGCTGGCAATCATCGGCATTCCTTGGCTTGAGCGGAATCCTTTCAGTCTCTGCTTCTGTCATCACATGGCCTTCATCTCTGTCTTCACAAGGGCTTCTTATAAGAAGGCTGAAAAGTGAAAAAGTGAAGGTCGCTCAGTCGTGTCCGACTCTTTGTGACCCCATGGACACATGGGATTCTCCAGGCCAGAATACTGGAGTGGGTAGCCTTTCCCTTCTCCAGGGGATCTTCCCAACCCAGGGATCAAACCCAGGTCTCTGGCATTGCAGGCAGATTCTTTACCAACAGAGCTACCAGGGAAGCCCATAAGAACACTAGTCGTTGGATTAAGGCTTATCCTAATCCATCTAACTAACCATCTTAACCAATTACATCTGCAAAGATCCTATTTTCAAATAAGGTCACAGCCTGAGGTTCTAGGTAAACATTAATTTGCAGTGGTGAAGGGGGACACTATTCAATTCAGTATTAGAAGGGAGAAAACCAAGGGGGTAGAAGCAACATGAAAATCAAGGGGAGTCAATGTCAAGATTCAGTAGATCTAGTGCCTTGGAGACATCGAGTGAAACATGCCCAGAGAATCACCCCCTGCTGGCCATCTTCTTGCCTCCACTATCCAACCACCCAAATTGCCTTTCAGCTGCTGTTAATAAAACCTGAAGTGTGTCCTGCCCCCAGGTCCTATCCTTGCTGGAGCTTACCTGTCCTGGCTCCTGGGCACCATCTCATCCTTCACGTCTCCTCTTGGAACTCACAGGGCAGGCTTCACACCCATCCTAGACAAATGTAGTATATCTAGTGGCTTTCACTATTCTTGGCGCATAGCTGATTCTTAATAAATTTTTTTTAATGAATGAATGAATGTATTAATTAAATGACACTGTGCAAAGCCCGTTATCCAATAAGTTGCTTGTTTGTTATTGTTATCATTTGCTATATTTTCCTCTTACCAATAACTCAAACAGCTCACCTTCTGGTACACATTTACATAACAAAACTCAGCTCTAGCCTTCTGCGGAGTGTGGACTCTCTAACTGGTTATTTCATTATTAATTTCCCAAATAAAAAATTTCTCATATGAAAAATTTTATTTAACATTTAAAAGGTACTTACAATGTTCTGGCTGTTTTAAACATTTTATAAATATTAACTAGTTTAATTCTTATAACAAGTTAATGACTTTTATGTACTTTTATTATCTCTAGTTAATGAAAAAGGAAACTGAGGCATAGAGGTTAATTTTTTGGCTGAAGTCACACAGTTGGCAAGAATTGAAACTGGGATTCAAACAAGACAATGGGATTCTAGATGGAGTCTGTGCTCCAGCCGGATTCTCAATATACCTTTAGCCTTTCCTTAGATGGGCAGTTGCCTTTTCCATGTAACCCTTCTGCAGCGTGAGATAAAGAAATCAGCTAGCAGGTTTCTTCTGTGGTCCCTACAGACAAGCTCCACCTCTGCATCGAGGTATTCATAACACAGCACACATAACCCCTTAAGAACGCACAATAGTGTACACATGCTAGACAGTCTGAATCAGATTTAGGAAAGTGTTAAAGTAACCAGATCGGACCCTCGTTGAAGCTTGCTTCCGTGGTCAGGAAATCAGGGCTTTCAGCTAGGTTTCTAGGCTGGGCTCTCCCAGAAAAGGAAGGTTTGCATCAACTAATCAGCGTTCTGCTCAGCATAAGCAAGGCTTCTCTTTGCTCTGTGTAAGGATCAGCCTTGCAATGGCCAGTCTGCTTTTGCCTGGTGTAACCTTCTTGTTCCAGGTCATGTTGGTTTATAACCACCCCGCCTTGAATTGTACAGCTAAATGGAGCTCCTTTCTATCTGCTAGGTAGGATACTGCCAGATTCATGAATTGATGAACCAATAAGATCTTTAAAATTTATTCCACTACATTTTGTTGTTTAACAAAAGAAATGCTTTCAAGAGTCACCATAACCTGGAAAGAAAGAATTCTGCTAAAACAAACAAACAGACCCAAATCCCAAATGAAACAAACAAATAAACAAAAAACCCTAGATTTACGTAAAAATTAAAACCATTCATTTGAATGCTGGTGACTTTTCATCCTCAGTAAAACTGCATGGACCTTTGTGCTTTGTATTTGCATAACAAAAACTCGTTACAGTAGTTATTTTTCTGCAAAAAATGGAGTCATTTTTACCAGGTAGGCCTAATTCCTAATCACTTTCCTGATCAGTTGCTCAGTCATGTCCAAATCTTTGCCACCCCATGACTGTAGCCCATCAGGCTCCTCTGTCCATGGGATTTCCCAGGCAAGAATGCTGGAGTGGGTTGCCATTTCCTTCTCAAGGGGATCTTTCCTTCTCCCTGGAATCAAACCCGGATCTCTCGCATTGTCAGGCTGATTCTTTGCAGCTGAGCCATTAGGGGAAAGCCCCCACCTCCTAGGCAGTGTTTTGCAGAAGGTTTATCATAATAAGTTACCGAGCAGAACAGAAAATAAAGTGCACTGCAGTATTGCTTTTGTGAAACCTTGCATATAGAATTGCTATGTAAAATGGTCTCTATCACAACTTTGCTACAGGGCGGCAGAAAACTTGGCTCTAAATAGCGAAAACCATACTTTTCAGGGTTTCTTTTTTGTTGTTGTCTAAAAAAATGCAATGTCTAATCTCTACTGGGTATTGGATTTCATTCATACAGTATTTTACAGTTTGCGAAACATTTTCTCGACATGATCTCGGTGACCTAAGAACAGCTCCGTGAGGTTTGCAGGAAGAACATTTCCACCTCCATAAACACAGGCAGATAACCGCACTGAGACGGCACAAGCAGATGGACTTGCACACTCCCTTGGCTGAGTTGTGAGCTGCCCCTGGGAGTATCCATTTTTCTAACTCCAGCTGTACCAGGCCTCCCAGAACTGCTGGCTGAGACACAGGTCTGAGTACTGAAAAAATTCCCGAATGCCTCAGGAAGTTAGAATTATTGGTCCCTCAGTCAATTTTTAGTGACAGATTTTAGCGCTCTCTCCCACTGCTTGTTTCCAAGACAACTTCTAGCACAAATGTGGATATGTAAGGAGAAAGTCATTAGCAACTTCCCTGGTTGCCTGGGGCCAAAGGACAAATCTGCTCACTCTTCATACTCAAATCTGCTCACTCTTTATGTTCAGTTAGACCCATGGGTTCCAAGTTTGGCTGCACGTCAATTCATGACTGAAAATCCTGGAACCGAACACACAGTCCAAACCAACAGCATCAGACTCTGAGCTGGAATCTGGGCATCTGTAGTTTCAAAACTCCCCCAATGAGTCTAATATGTAGTCTGTATTTGGTCAAGATCCAAAGAGTTAGAGAAACATGGTGAATCTAATCTGGTTTAAACCCACAACTCTTTATTAAATGGA